TATAGAGCAACAACTGTTTAGTTAGCAAAAACTTGGGCAATAACTCATCTTTTGACCTACTCGAGAGTCTTATCGGGCTGCCATTTTAATGTCACACAACGCATAAACTTGGAAATTAAAACGTGCCCTATTTCAAAATGAGGAACCCTGTCGAGCTTTTAAAACGCTGCAAAACGTCAAGTTATTAGAGGGCCTTACGTCTGATGAAACTTAAACTTCAGAAGGATTGGTAATTTCTTAGTTTGGAAAATGATGACGTCATATGAAAAGCGGCAATTAAGCGGCCAGTCCCTTTACGTGGCAACTATTCATTTCTCTGAGGGTGACAGTTTAATAGGAGTTAAAATGTATTAATAAGTGACCATCCTATTTGAAATACCATCATCAAAGCGAGCAGCAAAGTGGCAGAAAATTGGATGTCTGAAGATAAAGAAAACAAAAAGCTGTTACAAAATGGAACAAAAGATCAAAAGCAACATCATGCATCAGTAGCAAAACACTGAACAACAACAACAAAACCATCCCACGTATGCGGATCCTAAAGACATGGTGTGCAGGTACATGTAATACCTTAGTTGAGACTTCTGACAGGATTGGACCAAGAAATTAGTTATGAATGTCCTGGGGGGGCAAAATAGAACTGGGATTTGCCTGTTTATGAAATGGGAAAATCTGATTTGGGTCACCAGGACAAAGACACACATAAATGTCATGCTCAATAACTTTCCTAAAGTCATAGAGCAGCTTTTGGCTCTTGTCCAATTCTTCCTTTCTTAAACTTATACGTTTGCAATGCCGTAGCGATTAATGGCCGCGCACTGTACTACCCTGCATTGCACTACAATATATCATTTGCACCATACTGTACTCCACTGCACCGTACCGCGCCGCTTCGCACCCCACCTCCTGTAGAGCGCATTGCCAGTGCAGTGTAACGCTGCATTGCATTGCCTGTGCACTGCACTTCACTGTACGTCCTTTACAACGTAGTGCACTGAGCGTCCTGTACTTTCACTCCACTTACTAACCTCCTAATTCATTTACTAACCTGATTGGCCACCTTTTGCTTTGGGTTCTGATATTTCATGGAATCGCGTGGTAGTACCTGGTTCTGAGGTAGTGGTAACTGGTTTTTCTAGAATTGTACGACAACAAAATATCAGGAATTTATGTCTTATTAATTATTATCATTTAAGTATGGTTATTATAGTTCGGCTAACAATATTACATGTTAATTAGCTTGTGAGCTGGCTCATCGTGGGGAAAGAAGGTATGAAAAGAGTTGCCACTCGAAGAGCCTGCTCGCAGGCTATATCTATTAATTAATAGAAGAAGTGCATTGAAAGATAATGTGGCAGTCTTTTGTTCCTGGTGTCAAAATATATAANATCGCGTGGTAGTACCTGGTTCTGAGGTAGTGGTAACTGGTTTTTCTAGAATTGTACGACAACAAAATATCAGGAATTTATGTCTCATTAATTATTATCATTTAAGTAAGGTTATTATAGTTCGGCTAACAATATTACATGTTAATTAGCTTGTGAGCTGGCTCATCGTGGGGAAAGAAGGTATGAAAAGAGTTGCCACTCGAAGAGCCTGCTCGCAGGCTATATCTATTAATTAATAGAAGAAGTGCATTGAAAGATAATGTGGCAGTCTTTTGTTCCTGGTGTCAAAATATATAAGCAAAGTCTAAAATCACAGAATGGTGAACAAAAAGTTGTAATGTCTTCAGTACTGAGAAGATGAATTACAGTAAGACGACATGCGCTACTTTTATATGCTCTCTATAGCTTAAATTATAAATTCATACTTTTTTTACACCATTTCAGCCTCACTCAAAATATTGACCCTATTGCCCAGTTCTAGACCTGTAATGTACTTGCCATTTAATGCCCGCCCATGCCAAATGAAATGAAATGATCTGGCACAATGCCTTACAAAATAGATTACCTTGCACAGATAACTTGATGTCAGCGTATTCTGGATCAATCATCCCCAAGAAAAATGCTTCAAGTAGGTAACGCCCAGCATCATGTAGCGTCACGTTTTTAATACGAAAGGCTACATACGTTTTGTTATAGTAGCGTAGAGCGAAACGCTGTTTGCACTCTTCCAGTAGAGCAGAGTCAATGACACATGAACCGTTTTTATTCTCTTGTTCTTTTCCAAGAGCGATGATGGTGATATTTCCTTTCTGGATTCTGTACGCGGAAAAAGATTCATTTCGGTCCTGCACTGATCTTTTATATAACAGGTCAAAAGTATCTGACACATACGCTGTTTCTGAAAAAAAAAAAAGAAAAGAAAAAAGAGAGGGAGATTACATTCCTCTGAATGTCATGAAATTTAAAAACTTCTATAATGACTGGATTTATGAAAACGTGGTTAAAGAAAAGTGCGGTTTTTTACACAACTCCTAGAGACCCACGGATCACTCCAAGTGACTCAGAAAAAAGAGAGAGAGAACAGTACACAAACCACTCCAAACGATTGAAGAAAAGTGCGGTTTTTTACACAACTCCTGGAGACCCACGGATCACTCCAAGTGACTCGGAAAAAAGAG